GGAGGGGATGGCACTGGGCGAGCAGGGGAGGAGAACGGGCAGAGCATTCCCTGTGTGGAGCCATGGAATCTCCCTGGGAGAGAGTGACCTGTCCACAGAGTGCTCTGTGGCTGCCCTGGACCACACCATTGGCCCGGGCAGGGACGATGTGCCACCCAATCATCTCACCATTGCACAGAGCCGTGGAGCCAGCCCACACAGGAACGTGATGCCAGTAGAGCTCCCTGTCACTGGACAAAGTGGTGGAGACACCCCACGCTCCCGAGCCGAGTTAAACGGGCATCCTGCAGCCACCCTGGCTCCTGCCTCTTCTCTGGGTCTTGCTGTGCCAGCCCTTGGAGCCACAACAGGCTGCCCTGCCTTTTCTCTGTGCCCTGCTGTCTTCGCCAAGGCCGCTGAGACCACGACCGCCCGCCACGAAATGGCAAGCTGCTGTAGAGCTGCATCTGCCTGCTGCCAGGCAACGCTTGGCCCCCGCAAGATACCTGCCTGCAGCGGGGCACATGGCTGCTGCAGAGGGCTGCTGGCCACCGAGCCTGGCCGGGCTGCAATGACAAACGAGCACTCTGTGATGGAGCCCACCTATGCTGCCTCTACTGCTGCACTGCAGGGGTGCCCGGCTCTCGCAGAGGCAAAACACCTCACAGCTGTTCCAGTCGTGCCGGTGCATCCATTCCAACAGCATGCAGCAGAGACACCCACACGCCCCACTGCAGCACGCATGCCAGTACTGCCTCCTCCCAGAGCCCCCTGGTCCGGCTCTGGGACTGCACCTTCTGCCCGGGCTGCCAAGGGCAGGTCCAGCCATTGCTGCAACTCAGGGGCAGGCCCGGGAAATACATCACCAGAAATTCCAGAAATTCCTGGAAGAAACAGCAGATCGGGGAATCCCTCAGCAGTCGCTGTTGATACTGCACTGCGGCTGTCGGAGAAGTTTGCTTTGGATTGTATATCAGGAAAGGACATGAGAGAGAACCAGAACCATCACCCCTCAACGGAGCCACAAAATAGCGTCACTATCACCACTTTGCCGACAGCCCTGCCAAATCCTGTGACCATGTGGCAGAAGGAAAATGATCACCTTAGTCTTCTGGAAATAAATCAGGAAGTTACTCCAGCAGGTGTGTCATCTACAGTTGCAAAAGTGGAAGGCTGCATTCGGATGTATGAAGAGATGCACAGGCTGAAAGCAAGGGAGAGGCTGAGACGGCGGCAGGAGGAGCTGGAGAAGATGGTGAGGGCAGCCCATGCCCAGGCCACTGAGCACCTGAAGCGCTTTGATGAACTGAGGGAGCTAAAGCGGCATCAGGAATTCCAAGAGTTGCAAGAAGTAATGGAGAAGAGCTCAAAGGAGGCTCAGAGGCAGCAAGAGAAGTTGAAGGAAGAGCACCGACACAGAGCAAAGATATTGAACCTAAAATTC